CTCTCTCTCTCTCTCTCTCTCTCTCTCTCTCTCTCTCGGTATCCGAGCGTGGCACATCAAAGGGACTCGGTCTCTCTGTTGCGCGCAAATACACACCGGTCCCGACCTGGAAATCCAATTCGATTCTGCATGAAATGAGTCTGGAAACTCTCCGTGTGGCGCGCGCGCGCGCGCGCGCCGCTTTATTAATCCTGTCAGTACCGGAACGTGATTGAAAAATCCGCAAAGCGCGTGTGCCGCGACTGGCACGCCCTCTCCTCCTCCGCCTGGTTCGCCCCTCTAAAGAGGTGCTCGCCCTGAAAATTTATAAAGCACCTGGCCAGCTGTGTCTGTATCTGCATAAAGAAGATGATGTACACGAGGATCCCTTCAGCACAGCCAACTCTGCACCTCTCTTCTTCATTCTTTCTCCTTTCACGCTCTGCGCGTGAATTCGAGCCGCAAGTCCGCGTGAATTCGAACACTCGAAGCGTGCGTCGTGCGTCTTAGCCTGGTAAATTTCAGTGTCTCTTCTTTCGTTTCCTCGTTTATTCTTCGTCTCTTCTCGACGAGATATTTGGAATAGATCGGAGCCGATGCTAGCGCAATACTTTGAGAGTCTCTGATGCAGGATCAGAGAGGCGATCTTTCGCGGGGGTTTGATTCTTTTAGCGCCGTGGGTTTTCCATCGCGGTGAGCGATGGCTGCTTTGTTATATTAGAAGCTGGAAGAATGTTAAGTTTAGTTTTAAGGTCTTCTTCTTGAAAATGTGCTTTGTATTATGCAGAAATTTGTAAAATATAGCGAAAGAGAAGATAGTAGAGTGAGAGAGTTGTAGTTTTCCACAATTGTTTTTCTATATTTTCATATACAATTTGTAACATAATTCCGAGCGTATTTTGCAACGCAGTCTCGTTCTCCTTTAATTCAGAGTTAAGATTTCCTAGCTTCCTTCGAATTACAACCCCATTTTACAATAATTAAACGAACTTTGCGCACATTTGTTCCACCCGAATCGCGCCTATTTAATTCTCGAATTTTACTTTCAGTAGAACCTAAGTAACGGATCCATTGGGCTAGAAATTTCTACGGTTCTTTCTGCACAATCGTGTCGCCTCGTCGTTTCGTTAACGAACGTTTCGATTCAATTCTC